CAGAGTAGAGCTGCCCCATAGAGTTTCCAAGGAGCACCTGGTGGATTTGAACTGCCAGCCTTTGGGTTAGCAGCCGTAGCACTTAACTAATACATCACCAGAGTTTCCATAAAGAGCTTTAAAGTGGGTTAAAACCCTTTGGTCCTGTGATTCCCCTTCTGGGATTAGTTGTAAAGAAAGAACTAGAAATGGAGTCACAGACATATGCACTAGAGTATTAATTATATTGTTATTTACATGTAATCCCAAAATACTGAAGTCACCTCAATGTCTAACAATAGAGCAAGTTCAAATGATGCCTTATTATGCAGCCATTAAAAATTATGACATGGGAAAATCTTCAGGATTTGTAAAGTTGAAGAAATAATGTGATCAAATACTATATTTCTATATTATCCCAATTTTATTTGAACCATTTATTAATATATGCTTAGGTAAAAAGCCAAAGTTCTTACTATTAACTATGGTTGTCTTTGAGTAGTAGGATTATGGGTGATATTTATTTACTATACTTTTTTTCCATAGGCAGTAGATTTTCATAAAATAATCATTGGTTAATAATCAGACAAAAATATCATTAGAAAATGAAGTCATAAGCGTTTCTAAAAGGCTGTGGTAAGTTCTCAAGGGATAGATGAGTGGGGCTTCACTCGCCTTCCCTAACCTGGAAACTCTGCTGCTTGCTGGGTCCTTCTTCTTCAAGTGAGGAAAGTCTAATGAACAAATTCATACTCAGATGTTTAGGTCTTATTGTATTTGATTACTTGGAAGTGTTGTTGTTGTCTTTAGGTGCCATTGAGTCAGCTCCAACTCATAGTGACTTTATATATAACAGAAAGAAACATTGCCTGCTTCTGCACCATCTTCATGACGCTTGGTATCTTTGGGTCCATTATTTTGGCTATTGTGTCAATCCATCTCATTGGGGGTTTCCCTCATGTTCACTGACGCTCTGCTTTACCAAACATGATGTCTTTTTCTAGCAATTTGTCTTTCCTGATGATGGGTCCCAAGTAAGGAAGTCAAAGTCTTACCACTCTCACTTCTAAGGAGCATTCTGGCTGTATTTCTTTTAAGATTACTTGGAAGTATCCATACTTAACAAGGACACAAGAGGAAATGAAGACAATGTATCCTGATCAATGATTTGACGATGATCATATTTAAGCATCAATGTGAGAACTATTTCAGAACACAGACCTTTGGAGAACCTTTTATATAAGCCACTGGGCCAGACATTGCTAACTGTTCACCAAATCTATGTTCTTATCTTCTTCCTGGGAAAACAGCTAGACTACATTCTCCAGTCTCTCATATGTTTTGGGATGGTCATGTTAAGTGATTTCTAGCTAACAAAATGAGAGTAGAAGGGATGTGTACTACTTCCAGACCTGGCTCATAAAGTCTCCCATGCATACTCCTCCATGCTATTTTTCTGCTTCTGGATGAGACAAGCACAGAGATGTTAGAAGCCACATGATGAAGATGCTGCAGCCTCCATGAGCCATGGTCTCTTAATAACTCCAAGGAGAACTAGCAACTAACCTGTTTATCCATCCAAGACTGTGACACGAGCAAGAAATATACTTACTTCTTTTTGATTTGTTATATACTTGGTGGGGTAATTGTTATAGCAGCTACAGTTAACCCAACCAATGCAGCCACATTTGTTTATGTGTACACACAACCTCATTGTTAATGGAGAGGCAGTCACTCTACAAAAGAGGTTGGAAAATATACCATTTTCACCACTTTCTAATTCACTAAAGTCCTATAGAACATGTTCAATTTTTCTCTCCTAAAGTAAGTAAAATGCATGGGCTTCACATAAGAACTTTTCAGAATAAATATAAGATTATCACTCTATGAATTGGTATTTTTATGTTTGTCTTGTTTTTTGTCTTTCTTCTTCTGTTCAGATATAGGCTCCATGAGGGCAAGACCTTTGACTTATTTATTCCTGTAGCCCCAGTTCCTAGGAGTTCTACAATAATAGGCATGCAGTACATATTTGTTGAAGGTGTAAGTTAATGTAATGGATGAGAGATGAATAAAGACAAAAATTCTCCTGGTGAGAAGTACCACTCTGAAATTTGACTAGGTGCTTTCAATTAGCAAATAAAGGATTTTACCTCACAAAGACATGTGATTAAACATAAAATGAACACGTACGAGGCATTCCAGCTTCTAAATGTCACTTCACATTACAAAATATATCAAACACATCTAGAGCCCAAAGGCAACTGACAAGTGTGCTGAGTGCAGATATCACGCCACTTCCCATCTCCATCTCTTGCCAGCATCACTTTGACTCCAAGGTAGGTTTCCATCTCCGACCTTGCACAAATTTGCCATCTGATGGTAGAGAGTCAGCTATTTGCTCTCTTCTTACTACCCCAAGCAGATGTTTCAGAGTTAAATAGCCAATAAATCACAACTTCCTTGTGAGAGAGGGTCCGACTGCAAAGTGTTTATTTGCTCTTAAAATAGCTTCTGTTGCTGCCAACTAGATGGAGTCTAAACTGTCATTTAGCCAAACCTTTGGGGATGATTAGCTGTATACGTGCCATCTTCTTTCCTTTTGGGGGGTTTCAGTGATTGTTTACTCGTTTCCTTGCTTTTTTGAGTGTTTTTGTTTACCAATCTCCTTAGGTCTTTGAGGCCATCATTGTTTCAAAAGGGCTTATCTAACCTGAAACTGTGATGTCTTGGAAAGGCCCAAGTCTACATTCCAGCTCTTCCATTGGCTAGATAAGTAACAGGGCTCTTTACCACTAGGAATCTCCAATTTTGCTTCTGTGAATGGAGATGTGTTGGCTAACTAATTTGTAGACTCACTTTAATGTTGAAATGAGAGAGAAAAAAAAAATCATTGGCAAGCTCTGTAAATGGAAACTCACACTGAGGCTATAATTCAAAACTGTGTTTATATATCAGAGGTCCTACTTTTCAGACCAACAAATGAGAAAACAGAAAATTCATCATGTGAAGCACATTACAGTTGACTCATTGGTATAAAGATCAAATTTAAAAATTAATGTAAAAATGGCATGGGGACAGCATCTGACCTCCTCTAACTTCATAAGTGGGAAGGAGAATCAAGATCAACAGCCCAGGGCAGACTCCCATGAGACGGAGGTCAGACATGCCTCCTGTCTCTGCCATCTTTACCAATTCTGACACCAACCATCCCTCCCACAGCACTCTCTACTTCTGTGCTGGGTTTGATATTTCATTGCAATGGCCACACACAACTCACAGACAAAAGTCATGATTATGGGGTTTATTGGGGAAGTAACAGGTTACAATTCAAGCTCAGGAACACTCAGGACACAGTTCTTCCATCAAGACAGCCTTTTCCCAGCCAAGCTTGCAGGCACGCCTCTCTCTGGTACTCAACTTACTCACCGTGTGGGCCTGGAAGCCCACTGCACTGTCTCCTGCCAGTCTCTTCTGCTGCTGTTTCTCTGCCACTGCTTCTCTCACTCTCCTTCCTTGTTGGTAGTTGGATCCTCTCCTTCCCACCTCTGTGATGGCTCATTTCAAGCCCAGCGGAGTGGCAAAACTGACTAATCCCCTTGGTAGGCCACAATTACCCTATTTGCACAGTCCCACCCAATCATTTGGGTGGGAGTTACAAGACCATGATGAGAAAAGCCACAAAAAAGCGATCCATCACACTGCAATTAAGTTTATTAGTGATGGGTCAATAATTTTAAGAGTTAAGAGAAGCTTTAAAAACTCCAACAGATGATTGATGAAGATCCCAGGGACAGGGTCAAATTTAAAGTGAACAGAATATTCATGTCTAATGTCAGGACTCTTGGGAAATTAGCACACTCCTAACGGCCCCAATGAACTTAGTCCTGGGGGATTTCCATAGTGTCACAGTTCAGCTGTGACAATTGAAACGTGGGGAGTTGAAGTTAGAAAGGACTGTGCATGAGAAGTTGCTAAAAGGGACTGTACAGAGCTTAGCACTTCCCTAGCTGCAATGTACAATTAGTGTCCCCCATGTGCCTTGATGTTGGTCTGTTGTGTGATTGTCAGTCTACACCACTCTGCAGTCTCTACCCCTCAGATTCCTGACCAGACTGTCCTAATCATCCCAGAGAATGGAGGAAGGTTTTCTCCCACCTCAGTCTAAATCCATTTGCTTAGTCCTCATTTTCTGCACCAAGGCAGATGTATTTTGACATTTTGAATTTCAGTTCCTTTTAAAGAAAATGCCAACTCTACTCTCAGAGGGGTGGCTTTGTCCTACGACCTCACCAGATGAATAGTCCATTAGTAGTGCAGTTTCCAAGGTCAGTACCAGTCAATCTTAGGTAACCCCACCTGTGGGACACAGGTGGGAATGAATTAAGCTCAGGCCAGTTTCTTTTCAGACCCTTCTCTCCAGAAGTTTAAAAAATCTTGGGGCCTTGTCTCACTCAAGGTCACTTGTTACAATGTTATGTCATTGTGTACTCATGAACATGGAATGGGATTTGGTAACTATTCCTATTAACAGGAATTAGTAGCTATTCCTGTTTGTAGCTTCTTGGGCCACTTTAGACTCTAATGCAACACACCATTCTCTCATTGACCTTAAGACTGTGTGAATGCAGCAAATCTCCAGAGGACCCAGGACCAAGATTTAGTGGAGACCATATTATAAGCACCTCACAATATCCTTGCTGCACGAAAAACAACATAATTTCTTCTTACCTCAGATGATAAACACATGGTCTTTTAAAATCAGCAGTGTGTTCTTGAATATTTCAGAACAGCTTTATACTCATCGTATGCAAACATTTTTACATCTACATTTTTTTTTCAATCTGTGAGAACTGGAATAAAGAGAAGTTTACAGTGTACTTTCTTTCTCTTTGTAATAATGGATAGATGGTTAACTTTCTTGGTGCAGCTTTGCACAGTAGACAGTTCTGCTTCAAAATGTGCAGAAAATCAGTTTCATGAACAGTTTTCTCATTTTGCTTCTCTGCTACTTTCTCTAGGAATGCCCCAGCGGTGTTGTTAATGAAGAAACCTTCAAAGAGATTTACTCTCAGTTCTTTCCACAGGGAGGTAAGTACAAATGTGGACTTGTTAACATACTCTCCAAGTCATAATTATTCTTGCAGTCTTGAGTTTGGTTTAATTTTTCATGGCATGACTCTACATTTTTAATCTTTATGTAAAAGAATTGATGCACAGCATACAAGTGCTTATGATTTTCAATGTATCATAAAAGTGAGCTACTTACGAACTATCACATACGCAAAGCATTCACTCCTCAATTTAATACAACCACTAGTATTTAATGTGTGCCTGGTACAAGGGCTATTAAATACTCAACGCCTCCTGACTATGATGGCTTGGTGCTCATTGAGCCACAAAACTCTTTCATAAGCGTTGTAGATCTCATTTGATTCACCCGACTCTCAAAAGTAGAGCAAATATAATTACCCTCGCTTTACAGATGTGAAGTCTGGGGCTAGAGAAGTTAAATGGCTTGCCCAGTGCCACCCATCTACTGAGTGGCAGATCTGGGTTAGAACCCAGATTTTTTTTTCTGTAGCTTCACCTAGTGCACTTTTTGCTGTTCTTCTTCCTTTCAGTAACTCTTCGTTATGAGCCTCCTGATATTGGGGGAAAAAAAAGAATTGATGCCACTCTAGAGGTTATTTTAACTGGAAAGAAAACACAAGGATATCATAATGACAATACCCACCCACATGTTAGAGTCATGTGAAGAGATGTCTTTGCAGCTGGACTTTATAGCTTCTCCTTCAGTCACCCAACAGGATGCCCACTCAAATTCATCACAAAGACAACTGTGTGTTAGGTGCTGATTGTGTGAGACAAATTAAAGAAATTAAATGTGGTCCCTGCTCAAAAGAATGTCACAGTCCAGTGCAGCAGATGAGCAATATCAACATAAAGTTGGTAACATAAGCATAACTGATAACATAATCGATGTCGTAAACATAAGTTGATAACATAAACATGAGTGTGAAAAAAGGGTTTAAAAAATAGAATGATGAGAGCATGGTGTAGAAACAATCAGACTAGCTGAAGGGCAGGGTGTAAATAAATTGACTCTGAGCTTAAGTAGCTACCATTCATAAGGTGTCTAATATGGGCCTGGCCTGGTATGCATTATCTCTCACCATACAACAACCCTAGCTAGGACCCTCCCCTTTTTTATAAATGTGGTAACTAAAGCACAGAGATGTTTATCCATTTCCAGAACCTATATTCTCTCCACTACCTCAACAGAAGAGTTTTCTTTGATAATCACAATGTCTTCCAGCTTTAGAAGAGAGGAACATTCTAGTCAAAGGGAATGTAAGCAAAGGCTCAGAGCATAAAACCTAAGGTCGGCAAGTGCAGGAAACTGCCAGAATTTTGGTGGGCTGGAACAGGGTGTGTAAGATAGAGAGTGAACGGTCCTAGAGGATCATGTATGCCGTGTTAAGAAACAAAGACATTATTCTTGAGGCAACGCAAAGCCACTGATGGGTTTAAGTGGAGCATCCCTGATCACACTTGTCTTTTAGATACGTTCTTCTGATACTTCTGTGGAAGATAATCTGGGGAAGGCAATATTGCAGGCAGGAAGACTAATTAGAAGGTTATTGCAGGAGGCAAAATAATGATGTCTTTAACAAGGTCAGACATAGTAAGAATGAGGAGAGATTACAAACATATTTTGATGGTGAGAATGGCGGAGTTTAGTGAGTGATTGACTTTTTGTGGAGGAGTGAGATGAAAAGAGGAGTTTGTGGTAACTTCCAGAATTCCTTTGTGGAACCAGGTGACCAATTATTACATGAATTTGGATATACTGTGGTTGACAACAAGGAGCTCTGGTGGAGCAGTGGTGAAGTGCTTGGCTGCTAACCAAAATTTCGGTAGTTTGAAGCCATCAACTACTCCTAGGGAGAAAGATGTAGCATTCTGCTTTTGTAAGGATTACAGCCTAGGTAACCACATGGGGCAGTTCTACCCTGTCCTATAGGGTCTCTATGAGTCAGAACTGACTCAAGGCACACAACAACAACAACGTGGTTGACAACAACCACCTTCCCTCAATCTCATTACTACAATGCACAGAGAAAGGGAAAGTCTGCTTTAATAGCCCACAAAATTATAATGATGTGTCCATTGTCTGCATTAATGAAGAACAAATTTGGGATATCCTTTAATTACCTTAATATTCTAAATTGTTTAAAACTCATGGAATTATTGGCAAAAGATCGTGTTTATTATCTATCTAAGTATCTGCCAAGAATAAAGGCATAAGTTTCAAAGCACCTAGCACAGATCGAAATCTTTAAGCTATTTTTGGAATATTTATCTCAAATCAAAGTTATTACATGCTACAAATTAGATATAGCTCCATATTAAACTTTTATCTTTATTTGAATATTAACATTTCTGCATTAGAGGACATCTGCTTAAGCACAATCCTTTAGAATTCTTGTTACAAAATCCAAAGGGATTTGAGGAAAAACCACCTTTGCACTCTTAAAAATTCTTTGATTATTCATGTTAATTGAATGCATAAATCTAAAAGTACCAGGCATTACTTATGGAAATGAAATATTCTAAAGAATGATGACTTGTAATTTTAAAAATTAATATCAAGCATGCAAATTGTATCTTGCAGTGATGATAGAGAAGGAAAAGAATGTCCTAAGAGAGAATGTATTCTTGGATGGCAGACAAATTCATGTTAAGCCCTTCCTCACTCTTCCATAGAGTCATCATTTATTTAGGCTGATGGACTGAAGGCAACACATTTCTCTCATAATGAGCAGTAACAATGATGATGGGTCCCTAAATCACAATGCCTCACCACTTCCTCCAGGAAAATGCTTTGCTTTATCTACAAAACCCCCTGCAGTTTGTATTGTGTCAGGCTCTTGGGTTTCTCTACTGCTTAGCAAGACAGTTTCTCAAGCCCAGCTTGTTTGGTGTTCTGGATGTCAGCACATCTGGATTGAACAGAGGCCCCTTGCTTGTAGGGAATAACTATAAAACAAGCACAGAGGAAATGGCTTGTTGATGCTGTCATCTGTATAGTAACAGCATTACTTTTTCAACTCTACATACAGTAAAAGCTCTAGTATATAAACTCTTAGCTTACTAAGCATTTTAAAAGCCCATGAAAATGGAAGCTTCCTGGGCTACCGTTGCTCATGTTGTAGGAATTTTGAACTTTGAATATACTAAAATCAGTTGCCGTAAAGTAGATTCTGACTAGTCACCCAATAAACAGCTGTGGAAGGAATGAGTGAATAAGCTCAAATCAGAAGAATCTAAGTCAAAAAACATATATTGAGCAGCCACTGTGTGTGAGGCACTTGGCTGGGTTCTGTGGATGTAAAGATTAAAAAAAAAAAAAAAAACCTGCCCAATGGGTATCCTTCATACCCTTACCAAAAGGATAATATTTCTAATTCATTTGTAGTGATTTATAGAGGACTTATTGAACAGAAATTACTACCTGCCTCATGATAGTAACAATGCCATGAATTAACCGTCTTCCCGTACTTTGTGCTTGAATTCAGGCAGGAATCATTGTTGTTGTTGATATTAGGTGCTGTCAAGTTGATTCCAGCTCTTACTGATGCCATGTGACAGAGTAGAACTGCCCCATACAGTTTCCTAGGCTGTAATCTTTATGTAAGCAGATCGACAAGTCTTTCTCCTGCAGAGAAGCAGAGTGAGTTGGAACCGCCAAGCTTTCGGTTAGCAGCCAAGCACTTAACCTTTGCACCACCAGAGTGCCTCTTCAGGTAGAAGGTCGTGATTGGAAGGGGGACTTCAAATGTATTTATTTCAGTCTGGGACATGATAATCAAGTGTATTTGTTCAAATATCCTGAAATGTATGTGTATCAATGCCTTTTTCAATCAAGAGGTTAGTTGGTTTCATCACTGTGGTCAGGAAATAGGTGGATTAAGAATACTGGACTAAGTAAACAGTCCAGAGTTTAAGTTCAAACTCTGATACCACTAAGGTGTGTGACCTAAAGTGTTTTATTTCTTTAGGCCTCAGGATGTTTCTCTATAACACGTGGGAATCAGGCCAGATGAATTGTCAGTTACCTTTCTACTCTAACATCCTTTAATTCTAAGAGTTGGTGTTGGAATGTCTTGATTTCATTACTGACTCTATTATTAACTAACTAGGTTACCTTAGCTAAACCACTTAAATTGCCTGCTCCTCTGTAAAATATATATAGCCAAGTGATGTCCAAGATCTAGTCCTATTGCAAGAATCAATAAATTTTGTTCTTATATAAAATTTCAACATTTACTAACTTCACAATTAAAATTATAAGAAACTGAGGGCACAGTGGTTAAGAGCTACAGCTGCTAACCAAAAGGTCAGCAGTTCAAATCCACCAGCCACTCCTCGGAAACCCTATGGGGCAGTTCTACTCTGTCCTTAAGGTCACTATGAATTGGAATCGACTGGACGGCAATGGGTTTGTTTGTTTGTTTGGAGGCAATCTCAGTTTATCAAAATCAGTATTTACTTCTGTTGTTTATAAAGAAATGTGAGTGCCTAAGGCAATGGGTTTGGTAAATGGTACAAACAGTAAATAAAGCGCTCGACTACTAGCCAAAAATTTGATGGTTCCAATCCACCCAGAGGCCCCTTGGAAGAGGCCCAGCAATCTACTTTCAAAAGAGCCCAGCCATTGAAAACTCTATGGAATGCAGTCCTACTCTGAAACACATGGGGTTGCCATGAGTTGGAATCGACTCAAAGGCAACTGGTTTGTGGGTTTTGTTTTGTGTTTTTGTTTTTTTTTATTAAGAAAATGTGACCAAAAAATACTATCAGAAGTATAGGGGGAAGAGGGATCGTCGTTATATCATTTGAAACATGAATTGTACTGAGATCGAGAACCCAGGATACCAGCTATTCATCCTTTCAGCAATATTTACTGAGTACCTAAGAAGATGACTGGTGGCACAGTGGTTAAGAGATTGGCTGCTAACCAAAAGGTCGGCGGTTAGAATCTACCAGGCGCTCCTTGGAAACTCTACGGGGAAGTTCTGCTCTGTCCTCTAGGGTGGCTATGAGTCTGAATGGACTCAATGTCAACGGGTTTCATTTTTTTGGTTTTTTAATATGACAGGCAGGTGAAACCAGAACATAGATGCTTTTCTGACAGTTTCTGTTTTCTTCACTACATCCACCTGTGGGCCAAGCCAGATGCTTCCAGTGCCTTCACTCCTGCCTCTTGCCTAATCAAAGCTAGTGGCAACGCTCCGCTTCTTTAAAGGTTTTCAGTGTCTCCAAGTGCCTGCCATAGAAATCCGAACTCCACCAGAAGCTCCAATGCCTTTCATGACATAATTCTACTGGCCTTTACTGAGTGTGAAGTTGCAACAAGTTCACTTAGACACAAAACAGTGATTTCACAAACACAGCAACTTTTTTAGGTGAAGATATATTACACGTGAAAAAGATCTATCACATTTCCTTATGGTAGTTGCACTAAGAGTGGATTATCTATGAAAGAATAATAAAATAGCCAATATATATTGAACACTGCCTGGGACTAGGACTATTCTGTACACTTTGCATACAGTGTCTCGTTTAATGTTCATGATGACTCTATGAAGAATGTACCAGTATTGTGCTCATTTTGTATGTGAGGAAACTGAGCCACCAAGAGCAAGAGCACATACGTAGTATTTGGTATAGCTTAGATTCAAATTAATTAAGGTAGTCTGACTCCAGATCCAACATTATGAATGACGGATGTCTGCATGGTATATCTAGGTTGAAAAACTGGCTTAGCTTTCATGAGAACTGCCAATGTACATTTAGAAGAACAAGAAGTCCTCTGTATCACATTAGCACAAATCTTGAGCGCTTATTTCCCATGTGTCAAGCTTTAAAGCTGGAGCAACCCCATTTGAGAAGAAGTCATTGTCATATGCGCATGATATTTTGTTCATAAATTTTAAAAACTTGCAAATATCATTTGTTCTGAGCCATTATTCAGGGTGAGTACTGCTTGCTAACATAAAGGCATTTACCCTGATTATATAAACAGTAACAAGAGACTTGCTTAATGAAGCTCATTACAAAATATGCACGACCTCCTCTTTCTTTCCTCTCCCTAAAATAAGCTTAACATACCACCTACCAACTCACATCTCCACAGGGCACTAAGTAGTTCAAGAAGTCTAGGAAAAGTACTGTTGAGAGTAAAACAACTTTGCAAATAAGAATAGTCTGCCAATTCTCAATAACTCTATACTGGAACTTCCCAACAATTACACTAAGTTGACTATAGTTAAACTACCAGTTCATCTCCAAAAGGATTTCTTCCTCCATACTCATCAATACTAGATGTACATCCATTGTAGATATAACTATTTCACATATTATTTAGATCCACTTTGTGGTGCCTGATTAGTTTATTGAAGTTATAATAATTCATATGTATAAAATAAATGGATCCTCGTATCATATTCTGAGGTGAGAGGTAAAAGAAAATACCGCCATGATTTTGAGAAACCAAGTGTACTATCTACCTCATGAAATGTATGGTTTTTAGTAGTAGTAACTAATGGGATAAAGAATTCTGGAAAAACAATTCATAAAGATCCATGGGTGCATGGGTTGGAAGGAAGTTTGGATGACCTCTCACCTCCCTTATTTGGGGAAGACAATTCTCTACTCCTGCTACTGTGACTTAGTTTCTTGGCACCCTTTGTAAAAGCAATTCATAGAGTCAAAGGATAATAGAAGTTTTGTTGAATCTCAATAAAAATAAAGGTTAAATGTTATAAAATAGAAACAGATGAAATTTTAGACAGACGGTGATAAGTTAGAGCCAATGAACTGAAAGGTTATAATTTTTTTTTTAAGATAAAAAATGTTAAGATAGAAGGCTAAAACCCAAGAGATAAAACATTTAAAATAATCCTGTACATCTGATCAAGGGTCAAGGACAGAAGCGCTTAAAAAAGAAAGCCATGCATTAAGAAAATAAAACAATAAGAAAAAAATATATGTACTCTTAAAATTAAAAGGCAGGAAGTTCAGAGATTAGAGAAGCAAAGGTGAGACAGAAGAACAGGAAGGAAGGAAAAATAAGAGGAAAAATCCTGCTGGAAGCAAACTAAGCAAAAGTGTTAGATTTCAGAGGTTTTCAGTGTCATTAGGCATCAGGACAGAGAGCCATCCAAGCCTGTCTGCCATTACACAGAGCCTTGAATCCCACCCGACTCCAGACAGTGCTTCCCTACTGCATACAATCCATTGCCAAAATAGCCACAGAAATGCGCAGCATCATCACCATCCCCACTCCATCAGGCAAGTTTAATGGCTGTGGACTTGCCTGGTCTTCAGTGTCTGAAAGACATGAGTTCATGTTCCAGTTCTACTCATTACTGACTATGTGACATTAGCCAGCTCTCTCAACCTGAGTCCCAGCATCCTCATCTGAGTTGTAAAAAAATGAAAGTCCTAATCATAACAAAAATACTAACAATAGCAAAATATTTTTGTCTCATTATTAGTGTTGTTTTATTGTATTTCTAGAGATAGTCCCCGACAAGCACTAAGCAATTTCCAGATCCGCTGCTGTACAGTCAATTCTGACTCATAGCGACCCTATAGGACAGAGTAGAACTGCCCCCTCCCCCACCATAGGGTTTCCAAGGCTGTAAATCTTTACAGATGCAGACTGCCACATCTTTCTCCCATGGAGCGGCTGGTAAGTTCAAACCTTCTACCTTTCAGTTAGCTGCTGAGCGCTGTAACCGGTGTGCCACCAGGGCTCCACCAGACACAGCTCCCTTAATTCTCACATGCACCTACGGTCCCATTACTTATTCCAGTGTTGGTAGCATCACTAAAGACTCCCATGTATGCAAAGTATTTCCAGCCGGAAACGGACAATCTCCGTCACCACCTGCCCCTGTGTAGATAGATCATTCCTATGAATCTCAAATGCTAGTTCTCTACTGAAGGAGGGTTGTCAGCTGGGAAGAAAGCATAAACTAAAGGAGGTGGATTTAATTTTCCTGAATAAAAGAAAGATTGGATATGCTATGCAAGTGTAGTGAGTTTGAGGGAGTACGGGCTGAGTACGGAAAAAGTATGGCCACAAGATAGCAGTGTTGTCCATCAAGCTATTTATTGGGTCCAGTGCATTGACAGTTTGTTTGCAGGGGGCAGTCTCTCACAGCTGGAGACCTTCCATAGGCAAGTGGCTCAGGAAACCACCAGAAGGGGAAGAGGGCAAGAGAACTCCTAGAAGAGAGAGGGGAAGTGGAGGGGTTGCTTACATGTCTAGCAAATGTCCCTCAGCAGTAAGGTGAGGAATCTCCGGGCCAGAGAGCTCTGAAGGGCAGTAGCAGCTTGGGGTCTTTAGAACTACAGGGTTTCTCTGCAGATATTGGGTGCAGTTTCACAGGCAAACTCTAAATGGCTAAACATCTGCTTCTTTGGGTTATTTTAAAAGTAATTGGATGTGTGAAAATTTGAGTTTGGCACTGGTGGGCTTTTGGGCTAAAGAGGCCTAAGCCTGTTATGAAGAAATGAACAACCTGGGGCCAATATACAGAGGCCATCTTTGGCTCATTTATATGACAACAAGACTTAGGTAGGATATTGACCAATTGACTTAATGATATTCCCTTTACACCATTTCAGACTCTACAACATACGCACACTTTCTGTTCAATGCCTTTGATACGGACCACAATGGAGCTGTGAGTTTTGAGGTAAGCCCTAGACTATTTTTATATAACTTGATTTTAGACACGTTGAAAGGTATTTAGTCTTTTTAATGGGAAAATTCAGTGGTTTGATCATTTTTTTTTAGATTAATCATTTTTTTATTGTACTTCAGGTGAAGGTTTACAGAACAAATAGTTTCTCATTAAACAGTAGTACACATAT